TTGAACCCAAATATGCAATGAATTCAAATCCAAACTTAAATAAAATAAACTCAAATTTGAATCAAATGATGAAGACTTGTAAGTTTGGACATGATTGGAATCAAGCATAGTGAATAAGAATAAAGAACTTGAATTAAACTTGCAAGCATTTGGGACTTGAACTTGCAAGTGGCACATTATAACTACAAAGACTCAAACTTGAACTCAGTAAGAATAGAACTTGATTTGAACAATCATGCAATATTTGAGCTCAAACTTAAACTCAAAGGAATTTGAATAATATAAAAGAACTTGATTGAATTTAAAGAACAACATAATATTTGGACTCGATTGAGCAATATAGACTCAAGAACTTGTATTTGAATTTGAATGGAGTTTGAACTCAAGAAGACCACAAGGGATCCAGGCATGAATTTGACTCGAATCAGATGATGAAGATTTGCAGGCTTGCATACTGACTTCAACGAACTAAGCTTGAACTTGTGACTACAATGAATTAAACTGATAACAGCAAAGGACTTTCAACCTTCACATAAGCAATGTGTGACCTAATGTCCATGTTAGTGGATCCACAAGTTCATTCGAAGATGTTGGAAATCATTAACGAAAGAAGTCTCCAATGAATGATACACTCCGTCCATGATGATTATGCCAATCCAAATGCCAATGTCAAATGACAATAATGATAATATTATTATTCAAGTTATAAACCTTCGAGCAATATAATGGGCATAGTGATTTGCTAGTTGTTATACACAATAAATGCAGCATGTTTGTAAACATCGAGGGGAAATAAGTTGGTTACAATAATACTTGGGTGTGTTCATGAATAGAACACTAAGGCTCATGCACAACTGATGTCATTCAAGTGTAATCAAATACACTAGACTCCCTCAAAAGACAATAACCAACACATATGAAGAAGTGGATGATGAGGAATACAACTCAATCAATGATCATAACAATCAAAGATGTCACGGAGAACAAATACATTAAATTTCTACAAACAAGAAGAATTGACATACAATGAACACACGAGCTACATGCTGACGATGACACTCTCTGCAATCATACATAAGAAAGTTGAAATAGAGATGCATGGAATAACATGGTGAAATGTGCAAAGATGTCTCATACACCCGATGGTACAGTAGGGATGCTGCAGGCATCCGATATTAATATACAATGAACTAACAATCAAAAGGTATTCGAGAATTTGGAGTGAATACCGCCTTCATGCAATCAAATGTAAGTGAATACACCATTCTCCTATAAGTAAGAATGTACGACATGCAGCAGATGCAAGTACCCACGGGCCTTTGTAGGAGACCTGCTTTGTACATGAAGTGTCATGTATGAACAAAATGCCAGATTAATACAATGAATGCAAATGCCTATGGACTATTGAAAGAGACAAGTAGTGCACGACAATCTACCTGTATAAAGCAGCAAACAACTCTATCCAGAAGCTGTTATGCCACGCCACCAGATCTGCAACCTTCGTACAAGCTTACAGAAGGCGTTTATAAATATTTTCAAAATACTCCTGCACGTGCACTGTAGTTTGTATAGACATAGGTACACAAGGGGTTAATGCAATCACAAAACCCGCATGGGCCCCGGCGAGCGTGTTATTGGTACACACATGACGTTTAGGGATGTCGCATGGGTTATTAAATTTGAACCCTATCCTTCTAAGCAGGTAAAAACGAGTAGACATGGTATAATTATAAAATACCCCCAAACACCCGCATGGGCCCCGGCGAGCGTGTAATTGATACACACGTGACGTCTAGGGATGTTGCGCGGGTCGATAAGTGAATTCAATTTTGAACTTGATCCTTCTATGCGGATCAATAGGAGTCAACAAAGTTCGAAAAAATATACGGTTGTGGCGACCGGCGTATTTGTTTTAATACATTCATATTAGACCTTCAAGGCTTATATTCAAGAGAATTCACTAACAAAGATAGAAAGCCTACGAGGAACCTAATCCTTGGTCAACAACTTGGTTGAGTTGGCAAGGTTCATAAATGAAAATGCCCCCAAATACCCCTATGACGGTCATGTTGATTGAAAATCTCAACTGGAGGGGTTAATTTCAGACATTTTCAAATGCCACGTCAAATACCCACAAAGTCCAAAAATCCAATAAATTCCAAATTCCAAGATGTTTAAAATTTAAAATCAAACCATTGAACACTTAAAGCAAAATTTATCCACCCTCCGCAACAGTTTGTCGAGGTAGACAAATTAAAAATATTTCAGCTCACATATAGTCAAATACCTAGTTAAAAATATCACTAGAATCCATTCTCAAACAATCTCCTGCTAGTAAGGACGTGGTACGTGTTCTCTAATCGGCGGTTTTGCCGCCAAATGGCACCGCAGGATAAACGATTAAGACCCGGGGCCCTCTGAACCGAGTGATTTTGCCGCCAAATGGCACCACGAAATATCGGTTATGGCCAGAGTCAATACACTCCTTAGTGGCATTAAATCCTTGAGATATGAATCAATAGGATATGATCGATAAGGCACAAAGCCCTTTGTTAGCTAAGGTGGATTCAAATTTGTCCCTTTAGACAAACATCCAACTCATGTCTACAAGGTCTCCTTGGACAAAGCAACCCATGACTGCCGACAAGGATCCTTCTGTCAGGTTGGGTCGACTACCTCCTCTGACTAAGTAGACCAGAGACCACGATGGCCCGGGACGACGGAACCATGGGATCTTGATCGGGTCCATCATCCATTACCCCACCATCCGCTTTAAGTGCAAGGTGGTGAAATTTCTATTTTAAAAATCAAAATCTTCCAAACCCTTCAAACTTTTCCAAATTCTCAAAATTTCATACCCACGCTGCTACTATATGCCATATAACACGTATTTATACGTATCTGATTGACGACTAGCCTTAATAGAAAGTTCTCTCTCGTGATCGGGAGGGGTAATTAACTATAGGAGCTTGCGCCTATAGGAAACCAGAATTCAGATTATAAAGTCCTCACAAAATGAGGGCGAAATCTCTAGGTAGTGTCTTATCTATAAACCCATCTGCCTTCCAAAATTTACCTCGGAACTTATTCTGTTAAAACTCCCTTGCCGAAAAGAAAAGCAAATAGTGCGGGCGGAGGCCGAGGCCGAATTTTCGGAGCCCACAACGCATCTATGGGGCTTTCACTACAAATTACTAGTGACTTGTTTTCCTGACTGAGATCCACTTAGGAATCCCCACTAATCTTCACTATTTGTCTTGAATTTGGAACTATTTGGATACAACTAACGCTTTTGTCTTACATCTAGCTAACACCACTAGTGTGGACAAACCACCATCAAAAGATGCTCAACCCTTGAAAGGAAGCCAGAGGGCTGTACCTGCACATCGCCGGTGAGTTCAGTATCTCATGTTTTTTTTTTGCTTTTTCTTTGTTTTCATTTTTGCTTCTTTTACAGAGCAAAAGCAAGAGGTGTTTCTTTGCAAGATAATGAAGATGATGATGGAAAATAGACATTGTAGATTTGCTGAACGCTGGTTTTGGACAATAAGGGGAGTATATGTGCAGAATAATCAACAACAGGTTATGCCTTTACATCAAAATTGAATAGTAGCTTAATTTATTTGAATGCATTTGGTGCAAAAGAATAAAATATAAAAAGGAAAAAAAATATGTTAGATTTGAAGTATTGCAGATATTATTTGTAATCCAAGCTGTCTCTATTGTCATGCTCATCGATTATATCTGGTGATTATTATGCTTATGTACAACATTAAAACGTTTGTTTAGTTTTTTTTTTTTTCCATTTTCCAATGTGATTAGAATGGAAATTGTTAAGCAGGAGACCTTGTTTTGTTTCTGTTTGAGCTTTGCTTTTCTTTAAGAAAACAGTTACTGTGTTCAAGTTTACCTCTTTAGCTCCCAGATAGAAATCTTTATAAATCCTGAGCGGCCGTATAGACTTTTTGATTTATTTTTTATTGCGGACTAAATTGGAGTTTTGTCTTCCACTTTTCACACACTAGCTAGATAAACAGCCGTCATTCTTTTTTTTTTTTGGTGAAAAATTGCAAATTGCATTAAAAGGAGAACTAATTACAGGACATAAAAGGATCACATTCCTTCTTTAACAAAGTAAGCATAGAGGAATGAATGTTGCTAAAAGAAAAACTATCAACAAAAGAACAACCTTTTAAAGCCAAAGTAGCACATAATCGGCTACTTTATTACAATATCTATTAACATGGTTAAAAATAACCTTATTAAAATCATTAAGAAAGAGGAGCTCCTTTCACAAACCAATATCCATTTGCCAATTAGATTTCTTCAAAGAATCTTTAATGAAGTTGATAATGTTGAGATTATAACCTTCAATTATTATAACTTTGCTATCCATCATCCAACTTTGTATAACCTCCCTTATTGCAACAACCGTATCCAACTCCAATTGAGCTGCATCCCAACGAATTCTTCTTTTTCCAAAAGCAAGAAGTCTTCCTTTATGATCTCTAAACACTCCTGCTATCCTTGCAAGATTATATTCCAAAAGCGAAGCGTCCACATTTATTATAATCCAATCTAGCGGTGTAGGGTGCCAAGAATTTTGAAACTCTCATAGGAGATTAACACCCTAGCTATCTAGCATTGGATTATAATGATTCATGGACGTATACCGCACATTAGAAGCCACCACCACACTTGGAAGAACACTTTTACCATGTTTGAAGTCAGTCCGATTTTTCCAAGCTAAAAAAACGGTTGTACAATATACCTTAATTGTGTTGGAATGTTGAAAAGAGAGTCTTCTAAGTTCATCCAAACAATATTCCAATGATTGAAACATTGGAATGTTAAATCCCTAGTCTCTTAATTTCTGAATAATTACCACAATATGAGCATAACTTTCTATTTCATGACATCCTCTCGCACATAAATCATCATAAGAAAGTTTTCTACATTTAAGAAAGTGGTTTGTAGGAATAGCATGCTTACTTAGGCTCCACCAAAACAATTCCACTCTTGGATTCAATTTTAGTTTCTTAAGCCACCTTGAAAAGCCAAGATCATCCTCCATAATGCTGCCTTTCGTTGTTTCATCATAAGCCAAAGCAAATATTGTTTTTCTGGAATAATGAAACATAGGTTACACTTGGTCATTATGAATATCATGATTGATTTTAACTTGTAAAATCAACATTATAAGATCATTATGAAAGTAACGTTGAAGCTCATCTATATTCCAGTTACCTTCGGTAGATATGAATTGATGCAGTATCATATCCTCCATTCCCACACAATCAGCTACTATTGGCCAGGAATTAAGACATCTATGAAGAAGCCAGATATCTTTCAACACATTAATACTTTCACCATTATCCACTTTTCACTTAATAATGGGTTTGAGATATTTGCTGGCATCTAACAAAATTTGATATGCACTAGACGCTCCTTTCTTACTTTCCTCCTTCAATACATTATTCCCATATGTAGCAATGATATTCATGTGACACAGGATTTGAATTAATCTCCACCCCAATCTCGTTCTAAGAGGACCAGCTTTAAGAACAGACGAGTGCATGCCCAAACCGCCAGCACTTTTCGGTTTGCATAATTCTCCCCAAGCAACATAATGCAAACCCTTCTTTCCATTGGATTTATGCCATATAAAATCCCTACTAAGTTTATCCATTTCATGCAATAACCTTTTGGGAACCAAAGACTGTGTTGATAAAAAATTTGGCAAAGATAAAAAAGAATACTTGATAAGAGTAATCTTTCCTACCAAATATAAATTCTTATTTCCCCAAGAATTAAGTCTTTCCATGACATGATCCATAATACCTTGGAAATATGCCATTCCAAGTCTCCTTAAAGCGATTTTAATTCCAAAATACTGCATTTCCTTCACCGCTTTGAATCCCAACTTCTTAACAATTTTGTTCTGTCTTTGCCGTTTAACTGCTTTAACAAACATGATGTAAGACTTGTTATTGTTCACCCATTCTCCCGTCCATCCACATAAATAAGCAACAATATCTTTTAAAACTTTAACAACTCTTGTAGAAGCTCGATCAAAAACTAACACATCATCGGCAAACAGAAGATGTGTAATCTTGTTGGATCTAGGAGAAATTTGAATACCCAACTCAATACCTCTTTGATTTATTGCATTTGATAATAATTAAGCACACATAATATATAAATATGGAGAAAGAGGACATCCTTGCCGAAAACCACTCTTTGCATTAATCCATTTTGAATATTTGTCATTCAAAATGATAGAAAATCTGACATTCATTACACATTCCATGATGAGTTTTGAAAACTTATAAGGAAATCCAAACCGATCTAAAACTTGATTTAAGGTTGGTCATCTCATGCTATCATAGGTTTGCTCCATATCAAGCTTCACCGCCATCATGTCTTTCTTGTTCTTAGAGATCTTAAACTTATGGAAGATCTCATGAGCTAACAAACTATGCTTAGACATGGATCTGCCCGGCATAAAAGCCACTTGTTCTTAAGAAATTAACTTAGAAATGCAAATTTTCAATCTATTTACCATCATAAATGCAACCAATTTGTAAATGGTTTGACATAGACTAGTTGGTCTATAATTAGAAGGTACAATCGGGTTCTTCATCTTAGGAATCAACACAATCAAAGTAAATTTCCACTTTTCATGCATAGAACTATATTTGAAGAAACTATCAATAGCTTTCCAAGTAATTTCTTTTATTATGCTCCAATATAATTAAAAAAAAAAGAAGTTATACCATCCATACCCGACGATTTATTGTTCCCTTGTTGAAATACAGTAGCAACCAGTTCTTCAAAATTGAATTCAGCATTCAACTTCTCCATATCTTCACGTGTAACTCTCTGGTTCTCAGTAAACAAAGGCCAATAAGCTAAATAGCACTCTCTTGATCTCCATTTATTAATAAAAAATATCATAAAAACATATTCAATTTGTTTAAATTCCTCCACCACATTGCTTTCTTCTTCCTTAATGAATTTAATAACATTCCCATTCCTCCTAGCCAAAGCAAAGTTGTGAAAAAAAATTGAATTATTATCTCCTTCATCAAACCACCTTGCCTTAGCCCTTTGATTCCACCATGTAGATAATCTTTTCAGTGTAATATTCAGCTCTTGAACCTTGCTACGAAGTAAAATAAGCTTTTCCATGGTAAAGCCTCCATCCGATGCTTCCTCTAGTTGTAGCTCGAAAATTTTCTTCTTTAGTTCCTCCTTCAACAAACAAAAGTTTTGGCACTAATTTATATTCCAATAAAAGAGTGCCTTCAATGTTCTATGAAGCTTCCTATGCAAAACTTCAACATCATCACCAAAATCAAGTTTTTTCCAAGACTTAAGCACAATATTCCAAGATGCCGAATAAGATCTCCAAGTGTCTTCAAACCTGATAATCTTGGACTGTTTGTAATGTTTTTCACCCAACTTGAAAACAATAGAGCTATGATCGGACATCATCCTTGCAAGATGTCTAGTCCTTGCTAATGGTACTATCTGGAAAGCAGTAGAGTTTACCAAGCATCTATCAAGTCTTTCCAAAATTCTATTGGAACATTCCTTATTGTTACACAAGTGTATTTTGGTCCAACAATCCCTACATCATGAAGATCATTGTTAGTCATAAACAGCTTCATTTCTTTTGGCCATTGGGAAAAGATGAACCTCTTGCCTCCCCTCTTATCTTTCTTGGATAAAATGCAATTGAAATCACCTCCCACAATAGAGGGAGTACTATCCACCACATTCCTTTCAATCAAATTCCACAAACTCCTCTCATGATAAGACTTCTTCCCATACGCTGTAGCAACATTCCAAACACCCATAATCAGAGTATTAAGACTCTGTAACACCACTTGAGAAGAGTGATCAACCACCTCAAAGGACACAACAGTCCTATTCCAAACAATCAAAATTCCACCAGAAGTACCCTCAGCAGGATAATGGAAAAAATCCCAACCAACCTCAATAATACTATTAATATCACTCCTGTGAATATTTGCTACTTTAGTTTTCAGTCACCCCTATAAAGAACACATCATGATCTCTCACAATCTCTTTAAGAAAAAGAGAGGCTTCCCTCTTCCTAACCCCTCTACAATTCCAAAACACAAAGGAAGACATTATTCACCCAAAGGGGAATAGTCTCCACCTAACTTGATACCTTTCCCATCCTTTTTCTTTTTTATGTGCAGCTTCAACTGGTCCCAAAGATTTAAGTTATTTAGCTAGTTTGTATTTAGTCAAACCACTATTCCCCTTATTAGTACGTACAAAAGTTTCATCAGCAACTTTAACTTCAATGTATGGATCACCGGCTGCTTCTACAAATTCCCCTCTGTTTTCAGATTGCTAAACAATATCTTTACCCGATAGCTAGACAACAACTTATGTTTCTTCATTCTCAATCAGAATGTTGAACTTATTGGCCAAATAGATTTCATAATCAACATCAGAAATCACTTGTTCTGCCACATTATCTTCTTTTGCTTCATTAACTTCAGTTTGATTTGCTACAGGG